TACAGCTTTGGCCGTCTCCATAAGATCATGTTAGCGATTGTTTTCTAAGGACCCTAAGAACTGGCTCCCAGGCAGCCCTCCGGGATCTCACCAGCACTCCCTGCCTGGCCCCTCACAAGTGGGGATGTGCCTGGGAAGCACCAGTGCGCGTGCGTAGACTGCTGTGGGCCTGCCTTTTCTCCAGTCAGGAGATGTCTCCTGTCTGACATCTTCTCTCCAGATCGCTTCAGGTTCCAATCAGGATTTGTCTAAAAGCCTAATTTTCTCGGAATACCTAATGCAGGGATGGCAAACAGGTTTCATGAGGTTCATTAACTCTGACTGATTGGAAGTGGCTGCCTGGAGCTTTGATCAATTAAGTCAGGCCTGTGTGTGTGTGCCTGTGAGTGTGTGTGAGTGTGCATGTGCCTGTGTGTGCATGTGGCTGTGTGTGTATGTACCTGTGAGTGTGAGTGTGCATGTGGCTGTGTGTGTATGTACCTGTGAGTGTGAGTGTATGTACCTGTGAGTGTGAGTGTGCATGTGGCTGTGTGTGTATGTACCTGTGTATGTGCATGTGTGTGCATGTGGTGTGTGTGTATGTACCTGTGAGTGTGAGTGTGCATGTGGTGTGTGTGTATGTACCTGTGAGTGTGAGTGTGCATGTGGTGTGTGTGTATGTACCTGTGAGTGTGAGTGTGCATGTGGCTGTGTGTGTATGTACCTGTGTGTGTGCATGTGTGTGCGTGTGTGTGGGGGCCGTGGGATTCATGTGAGGTGTTTGACAACATGGACGTATGGTGCTCACTAGCTTTTCCTATAACAGGTGGACACGTTGACAACCTGGATTCTTTGCCTCGGAATTTTTTTACGGCAGAGCTGAGAGTCAGGAAAAGCTCAGAGAAAGCGTTAGTAATGTGCTTGGGCCCTGCACCCCATGGGAGACCAGGAGAAGCACCTGGCTCCTGGCTCCTGCCATCGGATCAGCGCGGTGCGCCGGCCGCAGCACGCCAGCCGCGGCGGCCATTGGAGGGTGAACCAACGGCAAAAGGAAGACCTTTCTCTCTGTCTCTCTCTCTCACTGTCCACTCTGCCTGTCAAAAAAAAAAAAGTAATGTGCAAACACTTAAACTTAAACTTAAACCCTGGCGAGGTGCACAGGGTTCCTGCGGCTCTGGCTGTAGTCAGGAGGTGGTGAACTCTGTCCCCTAGGAACAAACACTCCTGATGGTGAGAGAGGACGGCCAGTTCTGCTGACCACTGACGGGGCAGCACCCTTGGCTGCCACTGCCAGATGTGGCCCAAGAGCCCCACTCAGAAGCTCCAGTGCCAAGAAGACAGCCCGGTGCTCCAGAGCTTGGGGGTGAATCCCTGGGGACACCCTTGTGTGTGTGTGTGTGTGTGTGTGTGTGTGATGAAGGTTGTCTCTCTCAGCCCTGACTACTCCTGGCTTCTCCTGGGCCCCTGGAATAACACACAGCAGCCATTCATGATTTCTTCTTCGGGTGGGGCTCCCCAGGGAAGTCCCAGGTTGGACACGTGGCAGCGTGACCCTGGTGCATACATGGCCAGAGCCTGGGGATAATGGCTGAAGACCTGGACGGGAAGCTCCACCAGGGAACTGGACTCCTCGAGGATACGCCCCAGGGCCCAGAGTCACAGAGGCTCCTGGTGGCAACTCAGCAGCCCATACTGCCATTGCACAGTGACCTTCTGATGCCCAGTGGCATGAAGACCCAGGGTGCCAGTGCCTTCTCGGAACCTGGTGCGTGAAACCTAGCACTGCTAGGCAGAGGGGAAGCAGGCAAAGCACTCCTAGCAACAAGTGCAGACTGAAATTGGACTTTTATTTGGGGTGGGGGTGCTGCACCCAAACTGGCCCCACCAGATTGGACCCTGCCCAATCCTGCCTGTATGGAGGAGGAGATGTGGTAGAACAGCTAAGCACATTGGCTGTGGTCACACTCAGAAATAGGTTCAACTCCTGCACCAACTGGGTAAGCTGAAGCAAACTATCTGAACCTCTCCAGAGTCTCAGCACCCCCATCTTTAAAGTGGGGGTGATCATCTCCCGCAGAAGGTGGCTGTGGGATAAAGGATGTGCAATGAAGGCTGCACAGCCGGCCCATGTCGAGAGCTCCCCCTTGGCTCACTGCTACTGCTGAGGAAGCTTCTCGGGGGGCCAGGCTGGCCCACCGAACAAAGCCAAGGATTCCGGGCAATTAGGAAAGTGGCCCATGCACCCTCGATTCTGTGCTCATACCTTTTCAAATTGGCAGGTGCCAGCACCAACCTCCGTAAGCCAAATCTGAATTCTCTGTGTCCTTTCCCCAGCCTGCTCCTCCTGTGTCTCCCTGACCTCCACCCTCCCCATTGCCACGTCCCTGTGCTGAACCCTTGCCTTTCTGTTCCACCCACATCCACACCACGGGGAAATCTCTCTTGCCTGGATTTTCTGGATGCCCCTAACAGGTCTTCATTCTTTCAGCCCTGTCCTGTTCACTTCTTTTCCACCCATCAGAGGCTGTCATATCTGAAGCCGTTTGATGGTGTCTGGTTGCACCCAGATTAGAAGTCAGCATACTGAGGGCAGCCTTGGGTATAGCAAGGGGTGCCCCGTATTCCTCTCATTCAGCTCCTATCACCCTCATCTTGCCCATGCCCCTCCCCGCTATGGCTTGGAAAATAATCTCGAAAGACCCATGTGTTAAAGTCACAATCATATGTTCATGGACTAAGGGTGGAACATAATTGAATTATGGTGTCTGAAGGTGTGGCTTGGGAGGTAATTCCTCTAGAGCAGGCTGTGAGGGTGGAGGGCCCGTGGTTGAAGCGCTGGGGCCACCTAAAGAGAGACACGTAGGTGTGAGGAGAGAGCACGCCCATGTGTGTCTCTGCTCCCCACGTGACTGCCCCTAACCAGCATTCCACCTTCTTCAGACGCAACCCTGATGGGGACAGGCATGTTTCCTGGACTGCGAGCCTCCAAAATTATCCACCAGCAGAGCAAACCTTCTCCCTTCCCAAGTCGCTTCTCCCAGGTATTTTAGCAAAAGCGATGCAGAAGTGGTGAGTGGGGTCCCTTCCAGCCACAGTCACCTGCTCCCTTCTCCTGGAGCACGACAGATACACTCCTGCCTGGCTGTCACGCCTGGCGCTCCCTCTGTCTCCTCCCCGGGGTGTGCTCCCTCACCTCCTTCCCTGTTCTAATGTCACTTTCTCAGCGAGGCCATCCTCACCTAGGCGATTTCAAACTGTCCCCTGTGGGAGGCCGGAAAATGACCTTGAACAACATCCATGTGATCCTGTGACTGTCGCTTTTCACAGCAAAGGGATGGTGCCACAAGGATCCTGGCATGGGGACGCCCTCCTGGGTGACCTGGTGGCCCTGCACGCAATCACAGGGGTCCTGACAAGAGGAAGACGGAGGGAGACCTGACCATGGCTAAGGAGAGGAGGCGACCCTGTGGCCATGGACGCAGCCCTGCAGGGCTGCAGCCACAAGCCTGGGAGCCCCGGCTGCCTCAGGGTGGCAGAGGAGGCAAGGGCTGGGGTCTCCCCAAAGCCTCCAACAGGAACCAGCCCTGTTGACACTTTGACCTTCAACCTCTGGCCCCCAGGAGTGTGAGAGCGCACGGTTGCGTTGTTTTGAGCCACAGAGGGTGCAGGGATTTGCTGTGGCCACCGTGGGAAGGTGGTGTAGACAGCCCTGCACAGCCCGCACCAGCCAGCCTGCCTGCTCTGCCGCTCCGCTGTTTTCCCCGGCTAGTAGGGTGGGCTTCTCAGGAGTGTCCACCTCCCATCCCTGGGATGATGGCAGCTCCATCCGGGCAGGATGGGAGCTTGTGTCGCTAGGAGAGCTACGTGGTCGCTAAGCTGCTTGTCGGGCTTCTCTGAGACCCGGGGGCAAGCCAGGTGGGCTGAAGTCCATCTCAGAGAAGCAGTGGGCCTAGGTGCTCAGGGCAGGTGGCAGGGCTTGATGGGTCCACCAGGTAGGTGGGCTCTAGGACCCTCCCCAGAACAGGACTTTCGGGAATTTGAGCCTACAGGGAGACTAGCCTGGACAGCAAAGACAGCTGGCGCCTTGCTGGTGGCCCCAGTGGACCAGCCCTCCCTTCCTCCCTGCTGCTGTCTCTGTCTAGATGCTGGCCAGCCTGTCCCTCAGAGAGCAATGCTTGGAGAGACTCAGAATCCCTTGGGGCCCCCAAAGGCCTCTTGTTTTGGGGAGCAGGGCTTCCGGTGCACCAAGGGCACAAGCAGCTAACTTCCAGACCCTAGCCTGGTGGTGAGCGCAGGGCTGAGCCTATAAAGGCTCTCAGACACCAGGCTCCGAGTGGCCTGTGCAGAATCAAGCACGAGTGGTGGGCTGGTGGGCCTGGGAGTCTAACCTGGCCCCACCTCCAGCCAGGGCTGCGGAACCCTCCTGTCTGTGCCCTGTCGTGGGCTCCCAGACAGCCTGGTGGAGCCCTCCCCTTAGCCCCAGGGCCAGTCTCCCCAGGGAAGGGGCTTCCCGCCCTGGGGCAGGCTGTGACTCAGGACAGGACGCATGAACCAGCAGGGGGAGGCTGGCTTCCAGGGGAGCTGCCAAAGTAGAACCGAGCAAAGGGTGACACTGGCGGCCTCGCTGGTGGCTGGGATGGGGGCTTCGGACAGACAGCCTGCTCTCACTCCTGCTGGCCATGTGGTCTTGGCTGCGCCTTGCCGCATTCATTTGGAAAATGAGGGTGTGAGCTTAACGCACACGGGAGAAAGGTGGAAGCAGCTTGGCTGAGTGCCAGACACATGGCTAGCACTCAACACGTGTCAGCTACAGTGGTGGCAATGATGGTGACAGCACTGATGGTGACAGCAGGGGCTTCCTGGCTCAGACTCCCTCTCCGGAGCCCCATGAGGGGTGGACTCGGACTGTGCAGCCTCTCTTTGCTCCCCTGGGCTGCAGGCATGCGGTGGGGAGGGCCCTGCCTATCACAGTCTGGGCATGTGGCCACAGGGGAGGTCATGGCGAGCATTGAATCTCTTACCTTGGTTGTCATAGGAAGTGATGACCTGGGGCTGCTGAGGGTGCTGCTTCCCTGCCAGGCTGCCTATTTAAGGAAGACAGAGAGGCCTGTCATGACCACTTGGGACCAAGGTGGAATCTTCCCCAGGCACAGCAGGGAGCCGTGTGTGTGTGTGTGTGTGTGTGTGTGTCTGGCAGGGCCAAGAACACCTACAGGCTCAACCTAAACACATGCAACCCCCCACGGCGTGCACACTCGTGAGAAAGCATGCTTGCACATCTGGACCTGGAGGCAAACACCCAGAGCCCTCGGTCACCCCTCCCTCCCTCCTCCCTCAAGCCTCCCCCCGCCCCCAGCAGTTTCCCTCCAGTCGGCTGGGGACGCGCCCCATGGGACCCACAGCCCTGACTCCTGATTCGGTGTCAGCAGGTGCAGTGTCCGGAGCGCTTTCTCACGTACGGGTGGACGCCGCACTGACCTTCACACCTTTGTGTGGAGCAGGCCGGGAGGTCTGCCCTGGACTTGAACCCCACATCTCCTGACTCACATCCCAGCCTCCTGCTTCCATGTGAGAAGAGGAGCAGCCGGCCTCCCCCTCCAGCTCTGGAGTTGAGACGAGAGTAATCTGGGTTGGATTCACGTGCACTTTCAGAGCACCCGCGATGTGCAAGCTGTCTGCATGCTCGGGACATCTCTGCTCCCAGGACTCAAGAGTTGTCCTCAGAAGCCGGTGGGGCTGCAGACAGATGCTGATTCCTGCCTCAGGCCACCTTCCACGGCGAGCAGTGCCTTTCCTCGACCCCCGCTTTGAGCTGCTGCTGTGGCCTGGTCTTACTGCGGCCACCCTTACGCCTCTACTTCAGAGAGGTGGCAGGAGGGGCTGGGGAAGGGCCCCGCTTGCAGCCGTAGGGGCTTCTCCCCACCCCCACCACCCTGGCCCGCTACTGTCCCTCTCTGAAAGTGTCCAGTGACCAGGGCTTCAGTCTATGGACTAGTGTGCCTCGGCATGGGCTGCTGGCCCGAACAGATTCCATGCAGGTGACTCAAGTGACACCCCTCGTGCAGCCAATCGGGTCAGCCACTCACTGCATGCCATGCCGGGCCCCAAGCAGAGCCAGTGAAGGTAAGCAGGTGGAGTGCTGAGTGGCGCTCTATCTACGCTCTGCCTGTCAGGTCTTGCATGGCAAGAGCCCTGCCTGCTCCAGCCTTCTCCTGCGAACAGGCCCAGCCTGGCCCCTGAACCCCCCGGGCTGCCATTAGTTGGCCAAGGCCCAGGTCCAGTGTGAGTGCGGCATGCTGAGCCGGAGCCCCAGGCCAGACTCCGCCAAGGACAGGGAGGCCACCTCCTGCGGGCACAGCTGGCTGCATCTCTGGGAGGAAACAGGATCTGGGAGGGGAATCCTCAAGGAGGGTGATTGGCTGGCATGGATACTGCGGGGGTATTTATAGTCAAGGCTGCACAATTGGTTTCCCTGTAGCTATGGGGTGTCAGTCCCTGTGCTGCTAGGCAGACTTTGGCCAGGACCAAGGAAAGCAGCCAATCACAGTCGGGGAAGCCCGTTGCTGGGCAATCTTTATGACGGGGGGAGGGCTGGGGGCTGGGCCCAAACACCTGCTGCTTCACAAAGCTTGGAGCACCGGGCTCCCCGCCCCACCCTGCCAGCACCCCAGCCCCGGCAGTGCACAGGGCAAGCAGAGGGGGAAATGTGCTGCACCCTGTCTGTGCACACGCTGTCAGCTCTCCCTTCTCCAGGGAAAGCCATCCAGTCACGAGGGCCGGGCAGCCTGTGGGCCGCTGGGGCTGGCTGCCTTGGACACCCAACAAGGCAGTGCGAGAAAAGATCAGCTTCAGTCCCTGGGCCCAGAACGCTGACATCAGGAAACACAGCGAGAAGCGATCATGTTCATTTCTGAATACCACACATGTGGGACAAACCCTCAACCCGAAAACTCATGGAATGTTACTCCCTAAACTGGTGGGTTGGGGGCATCGCTTTTGTTTCTGAGTTCAGCGACTCTCTGCAGCCCAGCACTTCACTGAAGTTCTCCATTCTAAGGGTTTGGCAAGACCTGTTGGAGTCATACTCTAGAACAGCCGACACCTCGCGGCTTAGAGCTTCTGTATTGCTTTATGCTTTGTTGTGTTTTCCCCCCAGCCTTCCCCATAAACCGGGGGAAGTTGGGAAGCACAGGATGAATCCTGTGAGTCTCCGCCTTCTCCCGCTGTGCTGACAGGCCTGAGACACCCGGAGATGACAGTCAGATAGCTGGGGCCAGGCAAGAGGGCTGCAATAGACAAGGATGCGCTGTCTCTTGGTTCCTGCAACAAACAAGTGCTCGCCCACTCACCCACTCACAGGTGTGCCCTGCACGGCCGCTTCTGCGGCTGACAGGTCTCTGGAGGTCTGATCCTTATTCTGCGTCCTACCAGCCCCCATTTTTAAAGGATTTATTTATTTGGAAGGCAGAGTTACGGATACAAAGAGGCAGAGAGAGGTCTTCCATCTGCTGATTCACTCCCTAAATGATCGCAATGGCCAGAGCTGAGTCGATCTCAAGCCAGGAGCCAGGAGCTTCTTCCAGGTCTCCCAGGTGGGTACAGGGGCCCAATGACTTGAGCCATCTTCTACTGCTTTCTCAGGCCATAGCAGAGAGCTGGATCAGAAGTGGAGCAGCCGGGTCTCGAACTGGCGCCCATATGAGATGCCAGCAATGCAGGCAGTGGCTTTCCTTGCTATGCCAAAGCACCGGCCCCAACCCCCAGTTTTGCCAGCTTTGGTGGCTGCTTCATTGGAGTTACAGCTCACAGGTCTGCCATCTGATGGCCCTGACATCAGATTAAGGACGCCAGTGCACCCACATGTGTCCCCGAGCGGTGAGGGGTGCCTCGAGGCCTTTGCCTGCTCAGGAGCAGGGCAGGGACACAGAGCGCGGCTGCCCTCCAGGCTGTGGAGACTCCACTGCAGAGAACGCTGTTACAGCTGCGACTGAACGTGGCCCCGTGAGAGTGCGGATTCTCCAGCACCTTCCTTACTGCCTCATCCCCGACACGCAGACCGACCCGTGCCTGGTCCACAGGGTATGCTCCAGACACGTGCTGAGGACCAGATGAGTGCACTGACAGAGCCTCACCCTTCCCTTCCGTGACGGTCAGGACGCTGGCCCAGAATAGGTGTTGGGCTTCTTCAACAGCAGTCCTGTTTCCTATGTGCGGAAGGTCACGGAGGGCAGTGCATTCAGGTTGGCATCACAGGAGCCAGGTGTCTGATCCCGGGGCTCCCGGGGCCAGGGCCTGACGCCCCAGCCTGGGGCTCTGGGAGCTGAGGTCTGAGGCCGACAACAATGCCTATTACATGCACTGTCTGTGCCCATGAATTTTGAAGAGCACAGACCAGGGTTCATGACAGTTGGCCCATCCAGAGCATTTGTAGACAGAGCCTGGGCCTGCAGGGCCCACAGATGGCTGGGACCAGGGAGAAGAGGCTTTGGAAGTTGACTTCTGATTATATTCTGGATCCCAGGCTAGAACCCTTGGGTGGCCTCTCCCTGGGCCTCAAGTAAAACTGTCCTAAGAAAGGCTTCCGTGCCCTCTGGGAAACATTCGAGATGGATCCTCAGTATGACACGAGCACCCCTGCCTCCCACGGGAACACACTGCACCCTTACAGCCCAGGGCCTGTCTACAGCGCAGCCAGCAAACAAGAGGATACTTGAGACAGGGCATTGCTGCTCAGCTACCATCCCCAGTACAGCAGGGGACCTGCTGCAGAGACACAGGGAGACCCCTTCTGTTCCTTTACTACATGTCTAGGGCCTGTCTTCACACATGCGAGACCCAATCCTTCTTGTTACTATCCAGTGTACTGAATTCCAGGGATTGAAGGGAGAAAGAAAAAGAGACTTTACCATACAGCTCCTTTCCTTCGCATTTCTGCCATTTCCGGATTCCGTTTCCCACGCCTTGGAGTCCTGTGAAAACACAAGTACTGGTATGAGGTTCTCCACAGCGTGAGACTCAGGGCGAGCGAGCAGTGCACCAGTTCCAGCCGTATCTGGGACCAAGCTGTGGGCTGCTGGAGCCTGCACTCCCGGACTCAAGTGAGGACTAGATGGGATGCACTTGGAGGAATGGACGCAGCCCTTACACTTCAAAACGTTTTTATAAGTAATTTTTTAGAAGTTAAAAGTAGTTTTCAAAGGTGGTGGGGTTGCTTGTCAGGATCATCCAGGAAGAATTTCTTCAATGCAGAGGCCCATTTTCTATTCCCCATAGCTCTATTGTATAAAGCATTATTTTAGAGGACATTTGCTATCCATTTTGCCTGCCTATTTCTATAGGTGGTGAATCTCCCGTTTCTATAGTCTTGCTGGGTAGTGCTGGTGAGGGGATGGGCTTATCCCTATGGTAACGGAAATGATAGCTGCTGGCTCTCCCAGCCTCCCTTGCAGCTAGCACAGGCATGTGTGGTCTGGCCACGGCCAATCAGATGCACCTGTGCCTGACCCCGTCCTGGGACCTGTGATGCAATCAGGAATCTCTCTCTCTCCCTCCCTCCATCCCTGGCAGCAGCTGCAAGTGCTAGCGCAAGGTCGAGCTCCCGGCAGAGATCTGGCATATGTTCTGGCAGGAGAGCCGCTACAAGGAAGTCAGGTTCCTGGCATGGCAGGAGTGCATTGCACTTCTGGTGGTTGTGGAGGTTTCCTCACCAGACCAGTGCCACAGCGCAGTTTGTGGCACTGCTCCTGGGAGCTCCGCGTGCAGTCTGGTCCCTTTGCCCCACTCCCTCCTTGGCCCCCTTCTCTGCAGGGCCCTCTGAAGCCAGCACTTGGGGTTTACCCTCACTGACACGCTCGTGGAGGGGAGCACACAAGACCCATGGATGGCTGGGACAAAATCCAAGACAGCGAAGCTCTTTCAGAGCTGGTGCAGATCACCTCAGGCCACGTGTCCAGCTTCTCCACAGCCACGGGGATATGTGGACAGGCCTCTCCAATACTTGAGGGTGTCCACGCACAGTTGTGAGAAGGAGGGTTCTAAGGAAATGGCCAGGGAAAGGCTATAAAGGAGGACACAGAACCCTTTCTGGCCTTGCAGCCCAAATCCCTGCTGACCCAGTCTGGCCACGTTCCTCCTGTCACAAGGCCACTGCAGGAGGGCCGCCCGACGACAGCTTTCCTGTCCTCAGCACTGTGTTCCTGGCTGAGCTTTGCTCTTTCCTGACTGGTGCTCAGGCCCTCCTCTGCAGGATCAAGGAAGCTGCACTCCCTGGTGGGGGCCCTGGAGTGTGGAGGAGCCAGGGGGAGATGCTGGGAGGGGTCTGGGTTTGTTTTGCAGCTCATGCACCAAGAGGAGGGAGGCGTGGGGACGAGCTAGTCTCAGATGGATTCTCCCTGGGTCTCAAGGAGTGGGCCTGCAAGCTGGCCTAGTGTGGGCTCTGCTGGACGTCAGCATTGCCCAGCGGGCTCTGCAAGCTGTGCACTTTCCCTCCGCTCTGGTGACTGTGTAAAGGGCACAGGCCTCTCCAGGGTTGTAGCACACAGAAGAAATCTCCATGGGAAGACATTTAGGGAAAACTCAGCAGAAACATGCCCAGCAAACAGGGTCGTTTTTTCCAAGTCATGGTCCTGAGGGTTGGTCTGGAGTCATGGGGGGTCTGTGTTAGTGCTAGACAGCTGTCAGGGGGCAGCCCTGATGGTCACCATGTCCTGGGCTTCCTGGTGCTCTTCGGCCCCCTTAGCCATGCCCCCATCTCCTGGAAGCAGGTGCAGATGACAAAAGAACCAACCAGTCAAGAAAACTTCAGCAGCTGCCAGCATTCTCAGCCCTCCAGAATCAATTTCTTTTCCCTAATGGCTTCCAGAGGAGGTCCTTGGAGCACTGGGGCAGCCCCAGCCTGTGTGGCTGGTGCAGGCAAGGCCATGCCTGGCTCCCTTGCTTTAGTGGTGGAGTCGGTGCGCATAAGGGCTCTGTGGACAGAAGAGCCAGGGGCTCCAGAGATGGAGGGTAGGTGGGAGGCAGATATGTCTTCCCCGTGCCCCAGGTGGACCCCCATGCAGGCCTGGGGTGCTTCCCTGACCGCTGACTACAAAGCCATTGGCAAACATGGAGCTCCACCCCGTCAAGCATCTCTTGGAGACAGGCAGCGCACAGCTGGCCTCTTGCACCCCAGTGCCAGCCTTGGGGAGGGCTCTGGAGGGCTTCCTGGACCCTGAGGATCCGAGGGCTCCATCCTTAGCCATGGGTATTTTATTCACTGTGTGTCCCCTTTGGGAGATGACAGAAGCCCGGGCTTCTCCTGTCCACACTCTGCAAACACTCACTTGATTTCACCACTCTGCACTTTCCCAGAAAGTCTGCAGAAGTTCAAGTGCGAAGAGCACATTTCAGATCTCAGCCTGCCCAAGCCTGTGTTTCTGCCACACCTGTCCTACCTCCCATCAGAGATAGACTGGGAGGGAGGCTCAAAAAAGGGAAAGCTGAGGCCCAAAGTTGTGCACGGCCACCAAGTGAGCTCATCTGAGAGACTCAGCACGCCGATTCCCGCCGGGTGTCCTGGTCCCCGCCTCGTCCTGTGCTGGAAGCAGGCCTCAGTTGCCCAGGAGTCGGCCTCAGGCTCGGGCCCCCTTTCTCCAGCACATCTCCCTTCAGGGAGAAACTCGGCTCCCCAGGCTGAAGGCAGCCCCCACGGGCCTGCGCGGGGTCAACTTGGGGCACAAGGAAACGCCGGCACCGTGGCGCTGGGGGCGCGGCAGCCACGGGAGCGGGTGGCGGGCTCGCCCACCTCTGTGGGGAGCGACCCGCGGCAGGCAGGCGGTCTGGGAGAGAGAGCCGCGGGGCCCCGGGCATGGGGTAGCCGGGCTAGCGTGCGTTACCTCCTCTGCGCTGCGGCTGCGGCTGCGGCTGCGGCTGCGGCTGAAGCTGCGGCGCGCCCGGGTCCGCCTGGCGCTCGGAGTGCGCGCCCTGCGCGGCGCGCCGCTGCTCCGAATGCACGATGAGCAGCATGTCGATGGCCACGGCGTGGTCGTCCTTCTTCAGCTCCATGCCGCCGCCTCCCTCCGGGCCCGCGCGCCGCGGCCTCTCACGACGCTGCCTGCGCTGCAAATGGCCCCGGGCGCGCCGCGGCCGGGCGCGGGACAGGCGAGGGCGCGGGCGCGGGAGAGAGAGGGCGCTCCCTTGCCGCTGGGCCGCTGGGCGTTGCGTTTCGCTGACTCTGCCAAACACGCCATTAGGGCCGGCCCGGGAGGGCGCTGCCCCGAGGAAGCGGCTCTAAGTCACCTTTGAAAGGAAATCCCCGGGGCTGAGCCCTGACCTGCGCTGAGGCCGCCGTCAGCGGCGGACGCTTGCCGGGCTCCATCCCCACGGTGCCAGGGGGCTCCTCCTCCGAGTCCCTGGCAAAAGAGAAATTCACGATGCTGTTGACAGGGACCATAGGTCTAGGAAGAGCGAAGGGGCAGGGGTGGATTGCAAGATGTGCAGACGCAAGCCAGGCTCTGGTCTTGCCCCCATTCATTCCCTGGGCTCTGCCTCTGCCTCTGGGAGGGAGCAGCATGGGGTGCTGGGGCCAGGAGCGCCCCTGCAGAACTTGGAGCGTGCCCATTGAGCAGCTAGCTAACCATCCTCTTTGGCTTAACATGGAAGTCTAAGAACCTTTGTTTGTTCTAGAAGCCTAGCTTCTGCTCTGGGGGAAGGGTCCATAGAGAGAGAGAGTGAGAGGGAGGGAGAGAGAGAGAGGGAGAGAGGAGGACGCTGGGGCACAGGGAGCTGGACCTGAGGACCTGGCCTATTTTTAGCCAGGCCTGGGGCCGGGGGCCAACAGCAGCAAGGCATTTGGCTCAAAGTCTCAGCAGTGTTTACATGGGCATCTGCCTGGTAGACCTTGGCACTGGGGGCCCACCCCGCGGGGACAGCTCCCCAGTTTGCCTCTCCACCGTTAGTGGGTGCTGCCTCCCCTGGGGCCTTTGTCCCGTGGCAGCGTGCTGGCCTCACCCTGCAGCCAGCACCACCACAGGCTGCATTCCGGAGCGGCTCCACCACTTGCTGGTCATGTGACCTTGGGCCAGCCCACTTCCCCTCCGTTTCCTTACCCGTATCATTGGGGTCATAAAAATTCTTGCAGGGCTGTTGTGGGAATGGCATGCGGGTAAGGTGCCTGGCATGCACTGAGTGGTCTCCAAATGGCGGCTGTTATTCTCACCTCATTTTAAGGGTGAGGTGCGGGACAGGTGGAGTTGGTGGTGGAGCAGGGCGAGCCACACCCTCACATTCGGAAGGGCTTCCCCCATGCCTGTGGCTCACAGTTTAGTCAGATTTCCACCACCCCCTTGCCCACTGGGCACCTGTCACTGGCTCCTGATAATGTTGAGTCCCTACAGCAGATGGATGGGTAGAGGTGGGTGACTCCCAAGCCAGGTCTCCTCCTGGGAAAGAGTCTTGTCTGGTCCTTGTTTGCATGGTGCCTGGGGCTAACCACAGTCTGCCTGCTCTCTGTGTGGTTAGGGAAGTAAGAAGGATGGATTCCTCGAAGCGCCTAGGGCTTGGAGATTGCTATGGCAGCGCTGTGGTCCCAGCATTGCTGCATCTGAGCTGGGACAGCATCGCCTCACTTCCTCGCAGGTGCACAAGCCCCTGGACAGCGCTACTTATTGCTGGATGGGGCTGAGTGGGGGAGGGGAGGAGGGCTGACATCCTCTTCCTTACACCTGCACTCCCATCTTCCCACCCTTACTTCCCTGCCAGGAAACCTTACTCATCCCGGTGTCCCCTCCCACAGCTGCCTCTGCAGAAGGAGGTGATGGCCTGGGAGTTTGCAGCCGGGGTCCAGGAAGCTGGCCAGGAGGGCCCCTGCATCTCTTCATGTCAGAAACAGACATCCAGGGCTGGCGCTGTGGCACAGTAGGTTAATCCTCCGCCTGCGGCACCGGCATCCAGTATAGGCACTGGTTCTAGTCCTTGCTACTCTTCTTCCTATCCAGCTCTCTGCTATAGCCTGGGAAAGCAGTAGAAGATGGCCCAAGTCCTTGGGCCCCTGCGTGGGAGACCCAGAAGAAGCTCCTGGCTCCTGTCTTCAGATCTGCATAGCTCTGGCTGTTGTGGCCATTTGGGGAGTGAACCAGCGGACGGAAGACCTTTCTCTCTGCCTCTCCCTCTCACTGTCTGTAACTATACCTCTCAAATGAATAAATAAATAATCTTAAAAAAAAAAAGAAACAGACATCCTTGGTTGAAAGACACTTTGGGCCAGATAGCTCTTCCTGTGCATTGTTGGATGCTTAACAGCGCCCCTGGGATCCACCTCTTAAATGCCAGTAGTGCTCTCCTTCCCAACTGTGACAACCTAGGGTGTCTCCAGACACAGATAGATGTTTCCTGGGGGACAAAACTGCAAGCTTCTGAAACAGGCATCGCCTTGACTGCTCTGGGAGATGTTGCAAACCCAGGGTCCCCATGCCACTGGCATCCCCATGGCCATCAGTGCATCAGCACAGCTTCTCAGGGCCTGCAGAGCCGCTCCCTGCCACGAGCAGGGGCAGAAAGGTGGGATGTTTTTCTTACTCCCTTGGCCTCAGCTGACCTTGTTACACACCCCTCTCTGATCACCTGTTCTTGGGCTGCAGGAGGCTCTGGGGGAAGGTGATAGAGCCAAAGACCTCTGGATGTATCAGGAAAGTAGATGGCGAGCAGGAGAGAAGACAGAGGCTACTGAGCCATTCAGCCAGAGGCCCCCATCCCTTCTGCTCGAATCCCCCTTCCAGCTGCACCCACAGCCAGTGGGACCAAGAACAGCCTCAGCCTGCAGTTCTACACCCTGGGCCCAGCTTCCTTCAACAGTACCGGCTCTCCCCTTTGCCCTGCCACACCCACACCTGCTGCAGCTGAAGCTGCGTCCCCCACTTCCCAGACACACACTTCTTGTCATTTCCCAACACACCGAGCCCTCATCCTGCACCATCTTGGAAACATGGGACCCAAGGGCTGCTGTAGTCTGACCTGGGTAATTCACCTGCATTCTTGCCTTTGGATCTTACAAACCAAGGGCTAGCTGCATTCTTGGACAAAACTGTGTCTTTGTGGCACCTGTCTTTTCAGCCAACCGGATGGTCCACAGCCACCAAATTTGGATAACATGCCAGTCCCCTCTGAAGCAGTTATGCTAGGGAAATATATGTTTCTAGACACCACCTCCTGGCAGGGTGACATCGAGTCTCAATTCTCCTCATCTGGGCGGAGGTGTTGCTGGGATCCAATGAGATGAAGCCCACAGCTGTGGCTTCCTACAGCCCGTGGCTTCCTGGGCCCTGCTCTGGGAGGATCTCATTAATGTGGTTCCACAGTTGGGGGAGGAAGCCGAATAAACTGGAGATGATCCCGACTCCTTGTGGAGCAGGAATTCTTCCTCCCCATGTCACTGCCATTGTGTCACTGTTCTACCATCAAAAAGGCACTCAGTGACCCACAGAATCCATTCTTTGCAGAACTGACCCAGCAGAGCCCAGCTGTGCTGCCTGTCTCCCCTGCTCACCACACTCTGTGTACATTCAGGGCTTGTATCTTTGCATAATCTCCATTTTACAGATGAGAAAACTGAGGCTTGCAAGCCTAAGTTCAGGGATTAAGATGGTGGAGTAGGGAGAGAGCTTGCTGCTGAAGTCTAGGAGAAGATAGTTAAAAAAAATGGAGAGTGTGCTCTCAGGGGAGAGTCAGAGAGAAAACAGTAGAGGAAATGCTATGTAAATTGGAGGAACACAGTGGACCTATGAGGAGGGTGAAAATGTGCACAACTTAGGACCCCACCAGCCGAGAGCCTCTGCACCAGCATTGGAGAGCAAGATAAGATCAGACTGCAGCAGCCTAAGCTACTGGTGAAAAAGCTGCAGGAAGAGCCTAGAGGGAATCCAGCTTGGAGCCTGTGGGGGATGGTGTACCTGACAAACTAGAGGAAAAGAACCAAGTGGGGGCACATTTTCTCTCTCCCTGATCATGCTCCAAAGGCATCCTTAACAAGCTGACAGAGAGCAGGCGCCATTTTGGACATACGTAATCGCTGCACTGGCTCATGTCTGCATCTGGCAACCACCCACACAGACTCCTGAGTCTGGTGGGGAGAACCGACAGGGGACTGGGTGCTCGTGACTGGGAGGCTTGTGTGCCAGCACTGTGAAGACACTGAGGCTGCGTGGGAGGACTCAGGGTGTGGCTGGGACATTGTGCAGTCACTGTGGGAGGCTCCACACGATCAGGGCTTCCTCGTTCCCTGGTGAGGGACATTGCTGGGGAATCTGAGCTTCCACTGAGGACTGCACAGATCCTGTGTGTGGTCCTTGGGCAGAGTGGATGAATGATATACTTACTGGGGCAGCACCCAGGCACTGGTCTCCTTCCAGGAGGAGAGCTCAGCTGAGTCTACGCCAACAGACAAGAAGAAACCTCCCCTCTGATGAAAAAAAAGAGAGATTTACCACACCAAACTGGGGTGTGTCACCTCAGACACACCCTTCACCTTGGAGCACTGAACAGAGCTCCCTGGCTACTGACACCACATACCTCTAGTTATTCCCTGAAAGCAAACACTCCACTAATCCACACATAGTCCAAAGACAAAAGCAACTATAGCAAAAAATCAAAGAAGAAAAGAAGAAACCAATGAGTATCCCTACAAATACCAACTAACAAACATACCAATCCAAGAAACAAGAACAAGGAAAGAACTCCAAAAGAACTCAACACCTCAGTACTAGATTGTGAAGATGATGAGATGGAAGAAATGCCAGAAATTGAATTAAAAAATTGATCATAGGATTACTTAGAAGTAATCAGAAGCAACTGCACAAACTAATGAAATCCATACATGACATGGAAGAAAATTTCTCCCACAAAACAGATCTTAAAGAGAAATAAAAATGAAATCTTGGAAATGAAGAATGTAATAGAACAAATAAAAAATGCAGTGGAAAGCCTTAACAACAGAATTGGTGAAGCAGAAGAAAGAATACCCAACTTAGAAGATAAAGCACAGGAAATTATAGTCAGACCAAATACGAGAAGAAATTAAAAAACTAAAAGTACTGTTGGGAATCTACAGGACACTATCAAATGACCCAACATAAGGGTTCTGGGAGTTCCTGAAGGCATGGAAAGAGAGAAAGGATTAGAAGGCCTTTTTAGTGAAATAATAACAGAAAATTTTCCCTATTTGGAGAAAGAAAGGGACATCCAAGTATAGGAAGCACATAGAACTCCTAA